TTGAGAAATGGAAACAAATATGAGAAGGATGAACAACAAGTGGATAGAACTGAAAAAGAAGGCCCATGACAGAGTTGGTTGGAGAATGCTAGTCGGAGGCCTATGCTCCATTCGGAGCAAGTGACGTAAGTATGTAAGTAAGTAGGATATAAATGAATACAGATAACTGAAAATTCAATTCAAATTTTTTAACTCAATACTTTACTAAATCAATCACTTAACCTTGTAATATTGATTTATGATAATAATAGACAGTCAATCTTTTAACTTCAGTAACTAACTAACTAATCATCTATCAAATAATCGAGTAATATTTCTTATATTTTTATTCAAACTGTATAATGATGTTTTAACTTCACTTGATGTTGTTTACTTGTCTCTTCTCAAACGTGATGACGTTTGAAGCGAACGGTACTGAGTTCGAGTCCCAGCATAAGCATCATTTCTGAAATACAGGTACATCTAGTTACCGAGTCCTAAATAGGACGAAACATGCGCCTTACTGTATTCCACTGCTAGCCACTATCCACCTTTGAATAATGATGTTGTTTTTTATAAATTAGGATAGAATTGGAATGTCGGTGAGTAAAAGTGTCGAATGTTTACTACTCAAATAAAACAAGACTGTTTTTATTTCTATTAAGCAAATTGTTAAATCTAGCTTATTTACTACAAGAATTTTCTCTTATTAACATCAGTTAGATCAAATTCATGTTTTATTCAAGAACTCGTCGGTTTATGAATTGAATTCATGAATTAATTAAATCTTGACCAACATGGAAAATTCAGAAGCACTGGACAGCCATTTCGTCTTAGTATGGAACTCTTTCGCAATGCATGTCCACCATCCCGCCTAACAAGATTCGAACCCAGAACCTACCGATTTCGTGTGCAAACTCTTAACCTCCAGACGACTGGACCGTCATCCAACGGTGTTAATGTCTAACTTTAATCAATCCACGATTGATTTATTGAATAAGTCAATAATTTAAACCTCGATAATTATTGATAATCATTTAATTACTACTTATGTAATGATGTGGCTTTCAATTTCACTGGTTTGGTGGTTAACATATCTACCCTCTTAGCATAATTAATTATTCAATATGTGAGAATTGAGTGAGGATGATTCTTTTTTTCTGTACGAGTGGATACCGATTTGATTGATTCATTTATTTTGGTATTGATTGTTTGAATCTTCCCATTGATGTTTAAAATTACAATTGATCAGTCTCTATTTCGAGATATGTACATCCTGTATAAATTGCCTCAGTATTGCCTTAAATTACGAGCATTATGAACAGAGATGGATAATAGCTAACAATAGAATCCAGGCCATGTGTTTTGTCCCACTGTTAACTTGTCAGCTGAATGTAACTACATTCCAGAATTGATGTTCACTCCAAGACTCAAACTCAGTGTCGTTCACTTCAAAGATTAACGTGTTACCTGACCGATCATTTCAGAGAATAAATATTCAGATTTGTTGCATATAACAAACAGTTCAACCTTTCCACATCAAAATACTAGTTTACATGTTTAATACTACTTGTAATCACTTTGATTTCATCATCTTAGATGTAATACAACTAATGGCTTCATTTTGTGACCAATGTCATTGAGTATATTCAACATTTTATATTACATAACGTACAATCTATTGCGAATAGTTTTTCAGTTAGACCCATCAAACATGTGGATACGCTGTGATCAGTTAATAGATACCCTTTTAACTTTATCAGAAGACGTTTATTTGTTTTCTGTTTCCTGGTATATTTCTCATGAATTATAAGACCTCTTCAAACAAGCAGAGTAATCTATCAAGTACTGAAATAATTCTGACTTTCATTAAATTATCATTAAGGTGAGATTATAATTTATGGACAAACCAATCAGATTTAAGATAACAAGTCTTGGATTTCAACACAAAATTCTCTACCCATTTAGTTAAATAGAATCTTGGAATTTTAACTGATGTCCATTCAAGATAAAATCCATCAATCTAATTCCTATCTTTAACCATCCATTGTAAATCATAATGCTTATTGAGATGGTGAAGATTTGTAGTTCAGGTGAATGATTTTGATGGAGTTTTGTTTTCTGAGCACGAGCGAAACCATCCAACTCAGAGAACAAAACTCCATCAAAATAATGCTTATGGTTTACACAAATTTAAAACATTCATTTAATCCTAGTCAGTAGGTGGGCATCGTTGGCCGGACACTATCGACAACAACCTACTGTGGGAGAGAACAAACCAGATGTCAGTGGAGGTAGAAATCAGGAAGAAGTGCTGGAAGTGGATAGGACACACATTGAGGAAAGCACCCAACTGCGTCACAAGACAAGCCCTCACATGGAATCCTCAAGGCCAAAGGAGGAGAGGAAGACCAAAGAACATATTACGCCGGGAAATAGAAATAGACATGAGAAAAATAAACAAGAATTGGATGGAACTAGAAAAGAAGGCTCAGGACAGAGTGGGTTGGATAATGCTAGTCGGCGGGCTATGCTCCATTGTGAGTAACAGGCGTAAGTAAGTAAGTAAGTGGATGAACATTGTCAAGGACACTTTATCATTACTCAATAGTCATTAATAAATTATAATCTCACCATAAAGTAATATTAACATTAATCAATAGTTGTTACTATGTTCTTCTTTTACTTTAAAAACAAACAAACAATAACAATCATAGTAACAATCAAAAACCGATTGTTTTAATCAATAATTATTATCATTAATAAAAATTTAAAAAAGGGGAATATAATTAGACTTACTTCTAACCATGTAGCTAATGGCATAACTAATATTGCTAAACTAATATCAGCAATTGCTAAACTAACTATAAACCAATTTGTTGCATTTCTTAATGAACGTTCACGTATTACACTTAATACAACTAATGAATTACCAAATAATGTAGCAATTGAAAATATCATTAAACATAAACACCAATAACGTTTTTCTATATGTAATAAATAATTATATGTATTATTTAATGTATTATTTATAATAGATTGATTATGAATGATATCATAATTATAAGTAGTATTATAAGTAGTATTAATAGTTATAACAATATTATTGTTCATTGAAATGAAATAATAATAGAAAATAATTGATTATTCATTCATTCATTCATTCATTCATTCATCATATTTGATTTCAATAATCATATAATTCCATGGTTATTTCTGTTTTATGAATATGACTTGAGGTAAACATTCCTAATAGATATATATTTTCTTTAAAAAGACAATCCATATTTCTGGAAGAAGAACAAAACAATGAGATAATACTCAATACACTAAGATATCATAACATGTTTGTTCTGTTTTTTTTTGTTTTTTTGTTTGTTTGTTTGTTTTGAGAAATCGGCAATTATTTTATTTTTTTAAATGAGGCATAGTAATAAATCAACATTCTGATTGGTTGAATAGTTTTAACCAATCAGAATTTTCTATACGAAACAAAAAATGATTATTATCACCAAAATCATATTGACCAATCAAATGAGAGTTAGATTTATTAGTTTAGGGGTTATGAAGATTGTTAAGTTTTTGATTGAAATCATGAGTTAATTGAAGCTGGACCACCATGGAGAACTTGGAAGCATTGGACGGTCGTTTCGTCCTAGTATGGGACTCGTTAGCAATGCGCATTCACGATCCCGCACCCCACGAGATTCGAACCCAGGACCTAACAGTCTCGAGCCAGGCACTTAACCAACTAGAACAGCGAGCCAGCATTCAATGGTGTTCATGTCTAACTTCAACTAATCGACGAAATTGAGCGACACATTCACTATTATCTCACAACAGACCTTGTTGGAATCTATTGATCACTGTTTCTCATTAGAACTCTAGGAAATGCCTTTTGAAGTCAGTTACTAGTGAGCATATGATGATTATAATCAAAGAGGGATTTTGTGGAGATTGTAGTAAATTCATTAGTTGATTTCAATTACTGAAATTACTACAATCTCCACAAAACCCCTTTTGATAAAAAAATAAGCATTGTATACTTGATTATGTATGTAATATTAATCCAAATTACCTTATTATAAATTAAGTTCTCAAGGTATTCTATGTCAAAAATAAAGTCTGCGAACATATAAATGAACAATAATTATGTCAAGTAAGAATGGTATTTGTAAATAATACAAGAAATCATACAATGTATAGTAATAGTAACTAATTGTCACAGCATCCTTAGAAAATACAATCTCAGAACAATGATGTCAATGACATGACAACATGCTATACTACTTATTTATTTTACCCTAAATTATCATATTCAATATGTTTGAAAAGAAATTCAATTATTATTCTACCATCCCCATTGACTAATTTATTCTCTCTAAATAAAATTTCCTCAAAATCATATAAGACATAGAAACAATGGACATATTTTAAACCATTAAGACACTTTTTAAATCAAAGAAAAACCTATTGAATATGTATATATATATTTACTTCACTGGTGGAAATCATGAGTCAATTGAAGCTAGACGACCATGGAAAACCTGGGAGGAGTGGACGGCCCTTTTCATCCCAGTATGAAACTTCTAAGCAGTGCGCATCCACGACCAAGTAAATGACGTGATTCCTTATTACAAATTGATGACCGAGTAGTTTCAGTTTTTTTTTATAATTTTTTTCTTTTCATTTTTTTCGACGCCAAATCATTGTCTTCATTCTTAGTATTCTGTCTTATTCACAATGCCAATCAACTTATCAACAACAACAACAACAACAAGAACCAGAACAAACAAACAAGAAATATACACTTACACACAAGCAGTAACCAAATCAATATTAATATAAAGAACGTAATATTTTGTATTTTATATTGATGTATTTATATACATTGAATTAGTAACCAAGTGGGATTGAATTGTATAACATTGTTTCAAATTTGTGTTGTTTGTTTGACATTTGGAGACAAAGAAAAATTAAGTGATTTTCATATTTTAAAAATAATGATGATAATAATAAAGATGAAATTATACGACTATGACGATGATGATGATGATGCTTTGGATGATGATGATGATGCTTTGGATGATGATGATGATGCTTTGGATGATGATGATGATGCTTTGGATGATGATGATGATGATGATGCTTTGGATGATGATGATGATGATGATGCTTTGGATGATGATGATGATGATGCTTTGGATGATGATGATGATGATGGTGATGATAACCGGTGCTTTCAACGTGGTATGGTCACTGGCGAACGAATGTCAAGATAGTTCTACTGTACGGAGCTGAAACTTAGAGAACTACTACAATCGTAATCAAGAATACACAAGTATTTATAAATAATTGTTTACGCAAGATACACAATATCCATTGGCCGGATACCATCAGCAACAACCTACTGTGGGAGAGAACAAACCAACTTGCAGCTGAAGAGGAAATTAGGAAAAGACGATGGAAATATGTAGGACATACAATGCGCAAATCATCAAACTGCATCACGAGACAAGCCCTAACTTGGAATCCGAAAGTGAAGAAGAAATGAGGAAGGCCAAATTACACACTGCTTCAGGAAATAGAAGCAGATATGAAAAAGATGAATAACAACTGGAAAGGATTACCCAGGACAAGGTTGGATGACGAGTGCTGGTAGGCGGTCTATGTTTCTCCACGAGAAGTAAGAGGCGTAAGTAATTAAGTAAGTAGGGATGAGGATGATGAATAATGATCTTCAAGAGGGTGTTGGACTGTTGATAAAATGATATGATTATGACTGGTCAAGAAACGACATCTAGAGAAGGCGCGAAGTAATGAGATATGGTTACTTTAAGAGTTTAAGTGTTAAGAGTACAAAGTTTAGGAAAATAGATTTACGATGTCAATATTACAAAAGTTTACATTCTTTGTAATTTCACCTTGACATTTACAAAATTTTCATTCTGATTAGCCAACTTTTGACTTGTTTGACTCAAATTTACCATTAAAATTACTTGGTACCGCCAGATCAGTTGTCTCTTCATTAAGAAAGAGTAAATTAATTGACTGAAGTTATTTATAACTGTCGTAGTTTTATCTTAATCAACTGTGGTCCACTCTTTGTATTGATAACCGTGGTTGGACGAGAAATGATAGAAGTTTCTTTACAACAAAAAGTTCCCGTTTCTAATTATGAATTCCGAAGAAAAACACATAAACTACACAGTAAGGTTACAGGGTTAAGTCGAATAACTCAGAAAACTTTACTAAACATTCTGTCCTTAATTTAACATAATTATCATTTTATAGCGGTCAGGCAAGATGGTGTTGAATGGTACTACGATTTATTTGACAGATCATACCCCCTATTTAACATGATTCAACAATAACAGTTTAATTGAAACATAATAATAGATGTGACAAATCCAGAAAGTCTATATTTGAGTTTATTACTACAAGACTAATGTAAAATACTATATTTCGTTTGACTATTGTGAACTTTTTTGTTATGAATCTTCAAGTCAATTGTGTCAATCTTTCATAAATAACATCGTTGTTAAACTATGGTTTCAGAATGATTTTCTTTAAATACTTCGATTCCGTTGACCAAACACTATCAGCAACCACCTACTGTGGAAAAGGACAAACCAAGTTCCAACGGAGGAAGAAATCAGGATGAAGCTCTGGAAGTAGATAAGACACACATTGAAGAAAGCACTAAGTTACGTTACAAGACAAGCCCTTATTCGGTATCCTCCAGGCCGAAGGAAAAGAGAAAGACCAAAGAATACGTTACACCGAGAAGTGGAGATGGATATGAAAAGGACGAATAACAATTTAATAGCACTAGAAAGGAAGGCCCAGGATTGAGTGGGTTTGAGAATGCTAGTCGGTGGCCTATGCTCCATTTGGAGTAACAGGCCTAAGTAAGTAAGTTAATTCATAATAAATAAGATGAGCGAAATGGAATATATAAAATCGAAGAGCTTGTTATTCTATTCATTAGATTTAATTACATAAGGTTGGAATTAAGAAAAACATGAATACAATTTTCCGCTTAAAAATTAATTAAGTTTCATAGTTTTAATCATGAACTGATCTCAGTTAGATCACCAGTGAAAACCAGGTGGCATTGGAAAACTGTTTCGCTCAAGTTTGGAAATCCTCGTTGGTAAACAATTATAGCTTCTAGTTCCGTGGCCAGAGCATAACCCGATGTACAACTGGTCGCTTCTCCAAATTCAAGCAGTACTCAATGTTATGTGACCAACTACCATTGCTTGTTGTGAATAATTGTCCTACACCCGATACGGTTGAACTCCACTTATCATGGTTTCTCACTGATAGGTCGTGATGTAAGTTATGAGTATTTGGCGTTATCTAAAAACTCTCTATACTAGTAAATCATTTTGATAGGAAGTTTAAAAGACAAAGATGATTCAAATTTCATCATAATGACTATTTAAAAGAATAAATTTTAATCTTTTTACACTTCATTAAAATCATGAACCGATCAATATTAGACCCCCACCGAAAACCTAGAAGAACTGGACGGCCATTTCGTTCTTGTATTGTACTCCTCAGTAGTGCGCATCCTCTATCTTGCACATGGGACTTGAACTCAGAAACTTCGATCACGAAAGAACGCTTAACACCTAGACTTCTAAGTTGGTATCAAACAACGATAGATAGATTCATCTTCTCGCTAAAATTCAATAACCTCTACATATCTATGCCGAAAGCTTTTTTGATAATTCAGTTCCATTCACTTTTTTTTCATAAATTATGTTTATAACATCATTCTCCTTGGTTAGTATACGTCAGGGATTAATCTAAATTAAGGTATCATTGACAATCAGTTGGTCTGTATTGTGGTAAGCATCAGCTCACTCATAACTTACATCAAGATCCTTTCTAGTCTAAAGTTGTGACTGGTGAATTATAAAAACACCGGCTTTCAGAACAGTATCATTAAACGTGACGAATGATGTTCGAGTTATTTGAAGAATTAGTTAAATTTGAAAAAACAAACCTTTGGATACCAGTTCAATGTAATGAAGATTCAACATTCACATGGGCCTGAGTTCGATCCTTGATACTATCGTAAGTGTATACTTCTGATAAGTTCTATACAGTGACATAATCGCTCTCTAGTTCCCTTTACCATTTAATAACATCTTAGCTGATATCGTTCTGCGACAAATAACATCTACAGAATAATGTTACCAATAGAAAACCATTTCACTTAAAAGAACTAATCAATTAAGCATTTCATTAATTCTATAAAGGATGTTACAATGTGAAATTTATATTATATCAACAAAATGTCATGCTAGAATTCTGCACGAATTGTGTTCATTTTGTTTTCAACACTTCAATGACAACAAATAATTCAATATATCAGAGGGGGATTTTGTAGATATTATAGTAACTTTAATAGTAGAGATCATAAGTCAATTGAAGTTAGACCACCATGAAAAATCCGAAAGTACTGATTGGCCGTTTTGTCCTAATGTGGGATTCCTCAACAGTGCACATCCACGATCCCGACTCGCGAGACTCGAATCCAGGACCTGTCGATCTGTCGCGCGAACGCTTAGCCACTAGACTACTAAGCCTACATCCAACTGTGTTAATGTCTAACTTCAACTAATCCACGAAATTGAGCAACACATCCAACATTGTCTTCAGTGAGTTACTATCTCACAACAGACCCGGTTGAATTCAATATATTAATATGCTCATGTAAATACACTAGTTATAATATCATTGAAATTATTAAAGTGTAATCGTTTTAATTCGATGTCCATTAACCAAAGTATACAATTTCCAGAGAATATATATATACCCTATTGTTTTGAACTGCTATTTGTACAAGTACCTTGGCTTAAGATTATACTACTTAAAATACAGTTCTAGTAGTTCATAACTCACATAGTAAATTTCTGTAATTGTGTTACTGTAATTTTAAACTAGGAAATTAAATCTTCACTTTAGTTATCCATATTATGTAAGAAGACAGAGTATTTTCATTATATATAAAATGGGTCCAGCATGTTTATTTCATCTTGATACTGATTATTCAAATACTATTGACCCAACAATGATGATACCCTGTTCGATCTCATACTGGTGTGTTCTTATAGCCCTGTGAATTATAACACCTCAGAAGAACTCCAGCTTAGTGACGCGTAAACCAATACAAGTAGACTACATTCAACTCCGAGTCCTGATTCGTCATTTCGCCTAGCCCTGTCCGTTCGACTCCAGTACATAAATCTCAATTGCCATTGTATCATTCATGTATTTCAGACATACGCAGCTCATATACAAGCAAATAAAATTGTATCATACCATTAAATAGAAAATAATAACTATACAAGATTAGGCCAAAAAGTGGCCGTGAGTGTGAGAGACTGTAACTAATAGATTGAGAATAACTTAAGAATAGTAAGTCGTATAATAGTGGTCAGTAGATCAAATGAAAGCTTATGATAAAAGGAATATGAATATACATATCAACTAGCTACCTAATAGTTATAGAATAGGAATATATGCAATAATAGTTCATAAATAATTCCTAGCAGATACCATTCATTTATTCTTTGTTCTAATATAACAGAGTCCCGCGTGCATGATCGTGGATGCTCACTGCTGAGGAATCCCATGCTGGAAAGAAACGGCCATTCAGTGCTTCCAGGTTTTCAGTGACGGTCTAACATTAGTCGGTTCATGATTTTGTTTATTTTTATTTGTTTATACATTTGACCTTTCATTATTCAGATATTTGGTGTCAAAGTGTATTTCACCCAAGTTGTAATTCTTGTTAAATTTTAATAAAATTGATCATTTTACGCAACTGCTTTTATTGATTCTTATATTTATAATCGACTTGTCATCATTCCATTAATCCCTACTATTTTAGTGAGTCATACGATCGACATCAATGTAGTAGCAGTGAAAATAAATATTCCAATTGAAATCATGGTTCAACCAATGTTAGACCACCACTGGATGGTCGTCTAGTCTTAGGACGGGAACACTCAACAGTGCGTATCAACGACTACGCACGCGGGGCTCGATCCCAGGACCCTAGGTCTCGAACACGAACGCCTAACCTCTGAACTACTGAGCTGACATCCATTAGTGTTAATGTCTAACTTCAGCTGTATCGGTTGTGAGGCAGTTATCCACTAAAGACAATGGAAAATGGTTGCACAGTATCGTGGATTGATTGAACTTTGACATTAACATCATTGAATGCCAGCTTAGTGATCTTAAAGATTAAGCGATCATG